CTGACCCGGATTCGAACTGTGAATCATCGGTTTGTGATCGGAAACTCTACGGACTACGCTATGGAGACATGTTCGATTTATATTCAATACTAGAATTAGATTAGAGTTAGATACTTCATAAAGCAACCATGTCCCGATAGAGCTTGCGTGACAAAGTAATCAGTCTCTCCGCATAGCCTGGATATCCATTGCCCAATATCAGGAATCAAATTATATGTCCATCTTCATTTTATTCCTCTCACCCATCTTTCCTGCCACTTGTCGAGTAGATCCCTCTTGCGGTTTGCTTCTGTACTCCATTGTAAATTTCCTTCCTTTCCTCTATTAATAGGTGTATGGGTGGGACGCCTGCTATTACGCCTACTGCCTCTGTAGAGATTGTTCTGTAGGCACTTGCAATTCTGATGGAAGTAAGTCTTTGGATCCCCGCGAGTTTTTTTGTTCTGCTTTTATTACTCGTTACGGTGTGCCAGAATGGAGCCGCATAGAGTATTTGAGAGTGTATTATGCTACCTAATATTTTTCTTTTGGAGGATCTTGGTCCCCCAATGTTTGGCATGATGCAAGACAAGGCTGTTAGTGTTTTTCCAGATTTCTGTATAGTTCGAATTATGTGTTTATTATTATGTTAGAATTTATAGGACTAGATTCCTCTAGATAGGACTAGATAGATTTAAAAAAATATAGGATCTTCTTCCGATGCGCAGTAGTGAACGCAACGGGTATCGGCAGTCAGACGGGCCGCATTCTGTTCCAGAGAGCATAGTAAAAGATATATCAATGAGCCAGCCGTCTTAAAATACTTTCTCGAAAACGTTGTTAGCTCTTAAGCTTAATTTTCATGCATCCGTTATCCGACGACACGTTGATACGATATTAATTTTATTGCTTGAATTTAAACACTTCGATTGGTTAGAAACGGTTAACCAATCGAAGCCGTTAAATTCAACCAATAAAATGAATATCGTATCATCGTATCGTCGGACAACGGATGCATGAAAATCAAGCTTTAGACTACAGGATTCGAATAGGAATAATTATTTTTTCCATAACAACTGTTAAAATTGCCTTATACAGGGTTGTTCACCACATCCGACACGGAATATTGTAGCTAAACGATTAGATTTTATATAAATTGTAAGTTTTAGGTTCGTTGAAGGACTATTAGAGCTACAATTTAAAAATATTTTTACAAGATACAGAGTGTACCAAATAAGTAAAAATATTATAGTTGTATTTTTTAAATGGAACACCCTGTATATTATTTTGGATTCTACGATTGAAATAAAGGTAAATTTGATTAAGGTTTATCACACTTAAACCTTACCGTTTTTAAATATTTTCAATTTTATGAAATTGCAGTAAAAATTTAAGGCTTCATTTCTCCAAGGGTATGAAAGTTTTAATACTAAATATTTACTGACGTTAATTTATTGATCAGATATTAAGATATAACTTGCAGAGATAGGTAAAAATGGTATAATACAATCTGACAGACAATTACATTGTGCATGTGATTCATGTAAAATATATGGGGTGTGCCATTTAAATTAAACAAGTTATTGCCGTTTAAAGCTAGTAATTATTTAATATAAATTTTTGGACACTCTGTATAAGGTAGTAAAATTTTTATTATTGCAACACAATATCTGATCAATAAATAATCTCCAGTAAATATTTAGTATTAAAAACTTTGATACTCTTGGAAAAATGAAGCCTTAAAATTTTTACTGCAATTTCATAAAATTGAAAATATTTCAAAAACGGTAAGGTTTAAGTGTGATAAACCTTAATCAAATTTACCTTTATTTCAATCGTAGAATCTAAAAATAGAATAACATACAGGGTGTTCCATTTAAAAAACTACAACTATAATATTTTTAACTTATTTGGGACACTCTGTATCTTGTAAAAATATTTTTAAATTGTAGCTCTAATAGTCCTTCAAGGAACCCAGAACTTACAATTTGTAAAAATCTAATCGTTTAGCTACCATACTCCGTGTCGTATGTGGTGAACAACCCTGTATAGAAACCAACGCCAACCCAGCATAATATTTTTCCAACTCGTAATAAATAAATTCCTTGAAATAATAATTTCTGAATATTTTTAATCGCTGTGGAAAAAAATATTGTTTTATACACGACGATAAAATTGTATTATCGTTTCCCGAAATAAATTATTAAATTAATATTTTCGGTCGATAAAATACCATTTTATCGTCTTGTATAAAAAATAACTATTTCTTTATTTTTTGCATTTAAATAAAAGCATTTTTTTAAACGGATTTTTTTAATTAATAATTTTGTTTTATTATTCTTGTCTTGTAACGAAAATTACGGTTTTCATCGTTCGATACAAAGTTTCGTTATTTTAATTAACTATTAAACAAAATACCGTGAAAACAAATTAAAATCGAAGTTGGTCTAAAGGAAGCGTACAAACGCTTTTTGAGGAAATAATTAAATTTTAATTCAGAAATAATAATAAAAAAACTCGCCTGTTATAAATATGGAAAGGAAAATAAATTACAACGGTTTAAGGGTTTCGCATTCGGTTTTTATTTTCGTTAAATACACGGCCATTAATTAACACATTTATAAAACACATTAATTTTATAAACTATTAAAATCTTAATACATTTATTTTACAATTTACATTTTTTTACCTTCTTATATACACACATAAAATTAGAAATATACATAATTTATACAAAATGAAAGAGTGCCTAATAATTAATGGCTAGTTATATGGAAATAAATCATTTTTAAATTTAATTAAGATATAAAAAGTTTTTTTTTAAATTGAAGAATTGGAGTCTCAACTTCAAGAAAAAATTAACAGAAAAGAGGCAACAATATACCGGGTGTACCACATTTGAGGGTAATCATTGACTTCTAGGAAACCATAACAGATCAGAATTTATCACCAAAAAGAGACTGTTTTGCAAATTAAAACAAAAAAACGAAATATTGTAAAGTTGTTGACGACTGTTCTATACAGGGTGAGTTTCCTACGATGTTCTCTATGGCTATCTCGGAAACTACTGGAGATAGAGAGTCGGTTAAATGGGAAAAGAATTGCAGTTTTGTGGGGTCATAAATATGCGCCTTTCAGATTTTTGAAAAAGTTCATGGCGTACTAGATATTTAAAAAAAACAAATTTTGGCTATTTTAAAAATTCTCCCTAATTCTAATATAATCTACTTTAGACAAAAAGTTTTCAGATAAAAGTTGTAGATAATCACATCCCTAATGAGTATGTGTTCTCAGATTTTTTCTAAAGCCTGTCATTTTCGACATATGACACAAACATATGTTTTTTTTAAATGGAAGCAGGTTTCAACATTTCTCAACATTTTCATGAGCAGGTTTGAAGTGGAGGCTAAGAATCAGTTTGAGTATTTTCCAAGAGTTTGGTTTAGGTATGTGGATGATATTTTTGCTGTTTTTGACACACATTCAGACACCATAGATAATTTTATTTCTAAGTTAAATAATCGTTTTCCTTTCATTAAATTTACGCATGAAATTGAGAACAACGACAGATTACCATTTCTAGATGTATTAGTTATTAGAAATGCTGATAATTGCCTGGAATTTGATATCTATAGGAAAAATACGACCACACGCAGATATATTCCTAATGAATCACATCATAGGAACATAAAATGGCTAGTTTAAATTTCTTAGTTCATAGATTACTTAGTTTCCCACTTTCCAACGAAAGATATGAAATAGAAAGAGATTACATTAGGAATGTAGCTGATTAATTAGAAAACGTAGGTATAGGTAAATGACTCGGTAAATGATTTCTGAAAATTCGACTTTTCAAGTGGAGAAAGATACGTCTAAATATTTTTCGATACCGTTTGATAGAGAGTTATCCCGTGGTCTAAAAGGAATTTTTAAGAATGTCAATTATAAACTTGTGTATAATGCTAATAATAAATTACAACAATTATTAGGTAATCCAAAGGATAAAACACCTCCACTGGAAAGGTCGGGTATTTATGAAATTTCTTGTAAAGATTGTAATCAGAAATATGTTGGGCACACTAGAAGATCAATATTAACTAGATTTAAAGAACATTTAGCTCAGATAAGATATGGTAGACCGGATAAATCTTGCGTTGCCGAACATATTGTTGGTAAAGAACATTGTATAGATCTTAATAATTTAAAATTAATTAAACAAGTCTCAAATTACAGGCAATTAGATGCATATGAAAGCATCAGAATTAATAAATGTAAAGATAGTATGAACAGAGACAACGGTCCAATTCCTTCAAGTTCTTTGTTCCTACTACTCTAGTGGCGGAAATCTAACTGTTACGCTAAGTGGGCTCTGACTCGGTTGGCTAGATTTTGCCACGCCCACTCGATGCCCACTGGGCGAGTATATAAACGCTCAACTTGTATATTGTATTTTAGTTTATAATCATCTGCTGATGATGCTAACATGGTTAGCGAAACGCGCGTCCAGTGTAAAAGTAAAAGTGTTTTGGTGTATTGTGGTGATTTAGTGTTTTTATTTTGCTGTGTAACACCAAAGGTTCCAACCCTCAACTGTAATAAGTGAAATTAGTCAAGAAAGATAAGAATTGGCTATAACTCAGTAATTTTGTAAAAAAAAAACATATTATAGCTTAAATCGCTAAAAAGCTTAAAAAATGGTGCTTTTTATGAAGTCAAGGCCAACTATGGTTTCCATTTAAAAAAATATATGTTTGTGTCATATGTCAAAAATGGTGGGGTTTAGAAAAAAGCGGAGAACACAAACTCATTAGGGATGTGATTATCTACAACTTTTATCTGAAAGCTCTTTGTCTAAAATAGATTATAATGGAATTAGGGACAATTTTTAAAATAGCCAAAATTTGTTTTTTTTTCGAAATATCTAGTAAGCCATGAACTTATTCAAAAATCTGAAAGGCGCATATTTATAACCCCACAAAACTGCAATTCTTTCCCCATTTAACCGACTCTCTATCTCCAGTAGTTTCCGAGATACCACAAGATAGAGGACATCGTAGAAAACTCATCCTGTAGATAGATTGTCACTTTTATCTTTATAAGATGGTTATACAAAAAATATATAACTGTAATAATATCTTAATAATATGAACGTAAAAATTGGACTTTAAAATACAGACTTCTAACTATACAGACGGTTAGAAAAATATATACAAAAATATATGCATACACTCTTGAGATCGCTATATAATAGCTGACATAAAATACCTTTTGGTCGTCTTTGTTTCCAGGTTAGAATCAAAGACTTTACTCCGATTCTCATACGGACGCTTGACTTTGAGGTGGGGTCCACTTCAAACAGCTGGGGTCTACCTCTTTGAGTAGGGATCCTCTACGCTTCACCCTTTCCACGTATTCGTCCAAGACATCTTGTTTTTTCAGGATGATATGTTTACCCTTCCAATACTTCATCATGCCAAGGGCTTGGAGAGTGGAGACGATGTCATAGGAATGGATAGCCATCTGCAAAATAATGATAGTGTAAAGAACAAACATTTTTAAAAGATAAACTAGCCATATATACATTGATTTGTTTTGACCCAATATAGAAACAAGGAAAATGTAAACAGACGGTTTGTTTAGGATCCTTATATAAAAAGAAACAGACTGTTAAATAAATAGATAAGTTTGTAAGCCAACAGCATTTAGAAATCACATGCTCCAATTCGAGTCAAATTGTCGTTATGCGCCGCATGTTACAATTTCAAATAAACCATATATGCGAAAAATAAAAGTTGCATGTTGCCCTTTGAGTGCAGAAAAAGTTTTACAGATAAATAATAAAATTATTGCCTTTTTTAGAGAGAAGAACTTACCTCCTGACTTATATCTTTAACTGACAATGTGGTCCCTGCTCGAGAACACAAATAATTTAGCAGAACGTCTTTCCAATAAGAACGATACGATATTAAGCCCAAGTCGCTTAAAGGTTTTTCAGGAGATCCTATTTTGCCTTCCACCCTTGTCAGAAGATAACCTGTAACAAAAAAAAGATTTTTAAATCAGCCGCCATGAAATTTTGTCACATGTTATACGAGCTGTGGCAAAAGTTAAAAATATAAAAATACACTTGCGTGCATAGAAATCGGCCCAAGGCAAACTTTTGAAGTTAACTATATATTTTTTAGAATATACCTGACATACAAATATATATGCCAGATAAAGAAAAAATATATTCTGTGTGAAAGACAATTTTATATTCTTTGAAAAGAGTTTAGAGATATTAATTTGTATTTCGGTTTCTTTGGATTAAAATTATTAAATTAATGCATGAAACAAATTATCGTTTTTTATTACTAAGATGTATGCCATTATTTATTTATTTATTGATTGACAACTAAAATAAATTTTCAATTATGTGTATGACCCCCTCTTGCTCTTACAACATCTCTCATACAGTTTGGCATAGATTCAATCAAGTTTGATATTGTTGCTTGCGGTATGTTAAGCCACTCTTCTTATACTGCAACAATGAGCTCTGGGATAGAGGTTGGGGCTCTTTGTCTAGTACGAATCCTTCGTTTTAGCTCATCCCATAAATGTTCTATCGTGTTTAAGTCTGGACTGCATGCTGGCCATTCCATAACCCGAAAACCGACTTCTGAAATGTAATCGTGTACGATTCTTGATGTGTGTGCTCTCGTATTGTCATGCATAAAAGTGAATTTGCTTCCAATGTAGTCGACGTAAGGTACCACATGAACTGCTAAAATCTCCTCAAAATACCTAGCACCAGTTAAACCTCCTCTCCAGTGCCGACGGTCGTCCCAACGGATAAAAACTGGGTCGGTTCGCGCAGTCATAGAAATTGTACCCCAGATCATGCAGAAACCACCACCATAAGCAATCCGCTCCTCAATGCAGCATTCTGCGAATCGCTCATCTGGCCTCTGGAACACTTTTCTTCTTCGGTCGCTACCATAGAGGCATATCCTGGTCTCATCTGAGAATAAAACACATTCCCATTGTTCTAGTGGCCAATTCAGATGTTCTGTGCAAAAGGCAGGCGTGTTTGACGATGACCTGGGGTAAGTTTTGGACCAATTGCGGGTGTTTTGGGGGTCATGTTACTTTCCTTCACTCTTCGTTTTACTATCCTCTGACTTACAGTCACTCCTCGTGTTTCACGGAGCTGTTGTTGCACCCGAATAGCATTAAAATGCCGATTTCTTAATATTGTTGACACAATAAAGCGGTCATCACGATCTGTTGTATATCTCTTTCCACCAGTGCCAGGTCGCCTACGAAAGGATCGAGTCTCCTCATATCGTTCACACACTCTTCGAACCGCTCCGCGTCTCATATGCAGTTGCCGAGCTACAGCTCTCTGTTTAAGTCCATTTTCAATTAAAGCGATTACTTTGGCAGCCTTTTTCCGTAATGTATGCATTAAATTGAAACACTAAGCAAACAATGAAACACAACAAATCATACAATGAAAGAACAATGTGCAAATTTCGACTACAAAGTAACTGTAAAGTAGTAATTGCAATATTTGATAAGTTTTTTTATTCTTATTGTCACCACAACACAAATGCCTTTCATTTGTTTAGCCGTTGCTACGCATATAAACGATAAGTATTTTGGATAAATTTATACTCATATTAAAGCATGTTAAATTGTCTTTGAAACAGCTCATATTTTTTTCTTGGTCTGATAAATAGACTAAAAGACACAGTCAAAGTCAAAAGTTTACAGTGGGCCGATTACTATGCTCGCAAGTTTAATAGATAATAAATAGATATAAATAAATAGATGAAAATCCAAAGAATTTCTCCAAAAAAATATTTTTTTTCAGATTTGAAAAAAAATTATAGATCCGCCTATGTCTAAAATCAGATCCAAAATAGAAAAAAGTATCGTAGATATTTGATTCAGTACGAGGCGGACGTGAATTAATTAGGCGCTGTTGATTTAAAATTAAGATTAAAACCACCAGCGGCATTATTAAGTGCAAATAATAAAATCGAGAACACGGTGTGCCTTACTACTTGTTAAATGCACTCGCCCACGAGACAAGCCGAACCATTTTATCTTGTACAAACACTCCGAAAGCGGCTAATGATTTAATTTCCTTATTAGTAAATCCTCGAGGTATAGAAATTCTCACTAGCCGTAGCCCACGCAAAAAGGACATTATTATCTTATTATTTTCAATAGGAATCTTTGTTTTGAAAACGATCACTTTGCTTCAATTAGAGAAAAGGAGCTGGTTCTTATCGGGTCGTTAGTTGAAAGACAGAAACGAGTTGTTGAGATAGGAGGCACAAGACAAAAGTACTACACACATCGATGGAAATCTACGATAAGCTGTCTTGAGAAGTAATTAAAGCAATAGTAACACGGTTGTTTCCCCTTTATATTTTTTGTTATATTCTTAAAATAACGAAGAAAGGTTTATGTATTAATGAGAAGTGCAACAATTAAGTGCAGTGTTTATGTATTAATGAGAAGAGCAAGCAATAATGACTTTGGCTCTCTAAATTTTTAGTTTATTGTCTAAAAAAAATAACAGACTAATGTAAACCCTTAATATTCACAATAAAATTTGCCCCAAAGACGATTCATTTCCCATTTAAATTTCATGGGAATTTGCCACTTTTTGCTAATATTTTTTTTCTCTCGATCTTGTTCTTTCGCAGCCATGATAATCTCATATTCTTATACAGAACTAGCGCGTACCCGCGACTTCGTTCGCGTCGTATTAATCATTTGTATAGTCTGTCCAACGACAAAATCCTTGACAGTGATAGATGTGTCTGTCATTTTAATTTCAAAGTAGTTTATTTTATTTTACAAAGAAATATGTTGGTACAATTGGAACGCATAATTAATATATTTAAATTTTGAGTGACAAGTAATTACTTCAAAATATTGCAAAAAAACTGTATAAAACTGAAAAAATCTAATCTTGGTTAATTAACTTTTATCTTAATTTTGTCTGCTAGTACTGAAATGTATTATTTACCTATCGTGTGATGTTATTTTACAGAAACTCCAGTTTTTGGTACCATATACGAGATGGTATACAACTTTATTTGTGGCTAATACAACTCTCTGGCCATAGCAAGTCATAGTGTCTGGCAAACTGTGTTTCTGGCGGTCTCTGGGCACCGAATATTAACTGTAAACTATGGTCTGGGTCAACACTTAATTTTCCTTCGAGTTTTCCTCCACTTAATTTTAAAAAACACGAAACACAAGTAACAACACAGTCCAAAAAATTTGACACAAAATTATAACCTATAATTTGGCTAGAGTTTGACAACTCTCAAAAATCTAAAGTCGGGTTCATACGCATCGGAGTCCGTTTGTCGTTATCGTTGCGTCAAACCAATAATATTGAAACATGATCTGTCGTTTTTGAAATAAACCAATAAAAGTGGTTAAAAACAACAAGAGACGACGCATGACGTATTTACTTATAAACCCATCCATAGTTAACTTAAAAAATATTAGAAACTTTTTTTAGTGAAATAAATGGATTGGTATGGAAGTCATCTGCTTTTTTTCTGTCATAGTCTGTCGAAATCTTACCTGAGAAAAAAAACAGAGTATAATGGTGATGATAAAGCAAAGCCAGAATTTCCATTAACATACAAACTGGATAAAATTTTCTCACATTTATGTCAGCATGAGAAAAAACAATATGGCGATATTATTATATGTATAACTTGGTAATATTTGAGGGGTAGTTTCATCTCGTTGGAATTTGACTTTCGAAAAATCCGTTTGCCAAAAATAAGCTTTTTACGTCAAGCAGTTTAAGCAGAACCGTGGTTAATCAATAACCCAACTTTTTGGAACACTCTGTAGTATTTTTTTTTAAATTTCAAAATATGTAAAAAAACAAAATAAATTATGCGTGTCCAAGCCTTTAAAAACTAACCGTTTTTTAAATAACAAATTTAGTAGTTTAATAGTCTGTTGCTTTTTTTAGACAATAAACTAAAAATTTAGAGGGTGTCGTGAGAGAAATGACCAACCTTAATAAATAACGGACACTCTAGTCTACAGCTACAATACACTAGTCTTTCATCCGTTTTACCTGACATCCATTTACAGAACTAAAATGTTATGTGTCGACGGGACTTTAGTTATAATTTTTTTTATCCAATTCCAATACACAGGGTGTTTCAAAACAAATGCGAAAAACTTCAGGGGGCGATTCCTTGTTCAAAATAAAGGGTAGTTTGCTTCATAAACGTTGGGTCAAAAGTCAACCATTAGGGAGATATCGCGGTACAAAGATGGCGGAAAAATAATGTTTTTATTTTTTATCTTGAAAACGAAAAGAGATAGTCTAATGAAATTTTATGGGAGCATTACTGCTACGAAAACACACTTTCTGGTAATTTTTTCACTTTTTTAAAATGAGTGGAAGGGGTTGAAATAAACTACCCTTATCATTCTTGTTAACGAAATTTAAAGAAAAATCTTATCAAACACATGCAAAAAAAATTGATTTGGATAGCTTGGTTTATTTAGAAACTTTTTTATCTCTTGTGTTTCTTTGATAAAACTCGCCGATTTTAAATTAAAAAATAACATGTAAAGCATTACATATCAGGATCAAAAACATTTTTAGATAAAGAATCTAGTGATAATAACGATAAGAATAAGAATCTAGATAATAACGTATTGCAGTAGAGTAATGTCAATAAAATAATATTAAAAACATCCTAAAAAGTGACAGCGGCCGACTAGATTTTTTCCTAAAAAATTAGAGCAGCCCACTAGATTCTTTATCTAAAAATGTTTTTTGTCCTGATATGTAATGCTTTACATTTTATTTTTTAAATTCAAATCGGTGAGTTTTATCAAAAAAACACAAGAGATAAAAAAGTTTCTAAACAAACTAAACTATCCAAATTAATTTTTTTGCATGTGTTTGATAAGCATTTTTTTTAATTTCGTTAACAAGAATGATAGGGGTAGTTTATTTCAACACCTTCCACTCATTTTAAAAAAGTGAGA